GAACTATTTTTGTACTGAGTGTGATTTTATCTGTATTTACGACAATCCTACTTTTGTATTAAAAATAATACAATTAAAAATATATAATGTAAGACATGATTGCAGGACATAAAATTCAATAAAATTTGTTTTTTATGATTTTCCTGTAATCTTATTTTTATAACAAAGAGCTCAAGCGGAATAATTTTTTGTGTCGTATAACTTGTGTAAATTACTTATAAGTGAATTAATATACTAAAATTATAAATATTTATTTTAGATTTGGACTTAGTAATCGTTTTGATTCAGAATTTCCAAATGGCTTGGTATCTCGTATTGCTCCAGAAGAATTTAAAGCAACTATTATGAGAATAAACAGTGTACTGAAAAAAACATTACCGGTTAATGTTAAGTGGTTATTTTGTGGTTGCGTTTGTTGTTGTTGTACATTAGGATGTTCTCTTTGGCCTGTTATTTGTTTGAGTAAAAGGGTAAATATTTAATCTTTGTAAAAAATATACTTGTTTTGTGTAAGTTTCTATCTATAATGAAATTTTGTAATAAAACATATGAGGGCGCTTGTAGAAAAAAGGCCTTATAATCCTTTAAAGTCCCTTTGTGGGACTGTTTTATGGGATATGTTTTAATTGCTTTGTTTATGTCTACAAACAATTGGAAGTTGGACTCAGATCACCTTCAAAAAGATAAAAAATATTCAGAAGTGAAGAAAAATAGAGAAAAACTTGAAGTGTTATTGCTAAAAGAGAGAAATTTATATAGATCGCTTAAAGATGGCATCATGGATAAATTACTATCATAAGGGCAATGTTGGCTAACTTTCACTAGCTAAAGATTTATCTAGTCTAAACTAATATACCTATATGAACCATTGCAATGAACATTTGAGTGAAAAGCACCCGCCCCCCCCCACACACACACCTTAATAAAAATTTATATTAAAAATGCGATATGTATTTATAAGAACTATTACATTTTTTTAAGTTTTTTCTCAATTTTTCTTTTTTGGATGGTTTTATTTTTTTGGAAATGATCTGGACTCAAATTCTCAGTCTTTTTAAATTAATTAAATTAAAGCAAATCCTATTAAAGTAGATGCTGAGACCCCTTTTCTGTAAATTAACCAATATATGAAATATAAAATGAGATATGTAATATATATATATATAATAATATAAACAATTTTTATCTTACTATTTATAGACACAACATTCTTTAAATAAATTATTAGAGTGGGAGAATAGTAGACTATATCACACACTTGGATTACATTGGAGATTAGCAAAACAAAGATGTGACACTTCATCCATGATGGAATATGTAAGTAAACATAAAGATAAATTAAAATTGTTATATTTTTATATTTCTTGTTTTAAGATTTAATCTTAATTATTTAATTTATATTACAATTAGTTTCTCTATTTAAATTCATAGAGATCAAATCTATTATTATATTATCCATTTCTTAAGGAAGGACACATATACACACAAATTTACTTTTTTGATTATGTGAATAGTTGAAAGCTTATTAGTATAAACAAGCTTGTACTTTTAGTTACATCATCGTCTGAACTAGTCTTAAGCATAAATCCAATATTTATGTATAAACACACACTTATTTGTTTTCACCTTCTATATTTCAGGTTCTTTTAATTGAATTTATTCCAAAGATACCCATATATAAACCTGACTAAAGAAAAGATCTGGATACTTGTATGACTTATGCACATAATAAATTAGTGCAACTCTAAGATGTAAAAAGCCAACAGCTTCTGGCTTAATTGTAAAATAAGAGAAATTAAGTGTCATTACAGAAGGCACTTGTGGGATGCTTATTTTTGTAAATATTATATGTAGGATTGCACAGTACAATAATGAGATATGAATGCGGATCAGTTATGTTATATTAGTCTTATTCCCTAACATCTATCTTAACAGGTACAAAATCACAACAATTTATGTACTCATCTTTTATAAAAAGAGATCGATCTGCTTTTGATTTTCAGTTATTTAGTGAAAAAGAATATTAGCAAATATTTATCAGTTTGCACAGAAAAAATTACAAATGGGATTATAAACGTATTTTAAAAGCACTGCTTGATATCTAGTTTACTAGTCATTAAAACGTAACTATTTTGAACAATTTTTGTTATCTTGTTAATAATTTTTTAAAACCTACATTTCAATTAGATATTAAGCTTTCAGGTAAGAAATTAATCTGATATAGTACAACGAATAGTTTACAAAGTATTTGTGATTCAAGGGTGAGAAATAACTATCACATAGCCCTTATACTATTAAAAAATACAAAATACAGATACTCGTTTGTACATATTAATGTATACAATATAAAAACTTGTTTTGTCTATAGGTTGATTTCTTACCAAGGTGATATTAGAGAATACGATACATACAAATATGTGTCTGTTTTACTTTTTGACATGAATTTAATATAATTTAAGATGGTAAACATATTGTTACTATCAAGAGATGATGATATTATCTTCAATCGAAATATAAGTCTTTCTACGTATAACGTGGGATAATCTATTTTGCATTAGAAAAAAAGGAAGAATTAATTTTTTTGATTATTCATAGCCAGTTTTACAGAGAATGACTGGTTTTGAAAAAATAAAAATACAATCACTGTACAGTATTAAAATTCATTCAATTATCAATCATTACATTGTTTACTTAAAATTTTAATGAATGTTTTTGTTCTGTAATATTGTATATCACATTATATGGTTCTGTACAGGCACTTCTCTATATAGAAACTCTATTTTATAAGCGAAAATTTTCGTTGATACATAAGAAATAAAAATAAGCTCTGGATATAGATATAATGAAGTATAGAAAAATTGTAGAAAAATGGATAGGACATATGTTAGAAATTTGGAAAGCATTAGAAGTATTTTTCTTTCTATTCAGTGGCTGTGATTGAGAATACAAGACTAGTTTTCAACTTAAACATATATCCTACATATGTCTCAAAAATCACATACATCTGAGTTTCTAGCTTAATAAACACAATAAATATCTTTCTAAGGGATGTACTTAATTTGCAAAATTATCAATTATGATGCTTCACATTATAACAGTAATTTAGTATCTGTACAATAATTCATGTGAACACCAGTTTGGGAACATAATTTTTGACTTACTAATAAATAAATATAATGATTATTTCATTGAATATTATGAAACAGTAGAAGCTGTATTAGTTAACAATATTATTCCATTCCAAATTATGTGAGTTATGTAAATTGTTGATACTTCACTTGAGATGTACTGTGCAATGGAACCATGAATGTAAATATCCTTGATGTTTTGTGTGTTTAAAAAATATAATTAATGTAGAATTGTGCAGAATTGATAACTGTAACAGTCAACATGCTTTTACACTGTACATTAGTAATTTATATGTTTGTAATTATCAATGCTTATTCATTCGTTTTACTCCTTCTTTCCCCTTTTTTATTTGGATAGTGCAAGTATTTCTTAATGTTTGCAAGTATATGAACTTAAATGTTCTAAAATCTGTGTTTTGATAAACAAAACATTGAAAAATTGTTTACAAATAAAGAGATATAGATTTATTTTTTCATTAATTGACGTTACTGTATTTAATAACTCAATGGAAATTAAAAACTGCATTTTTATTTTCTTCACACAAACACATATAAGTGGAATGCATAGTTAATTTCTTGAGTTGTACTTTTTTGTAGATAAATTGTATTGCATATATTTACATATGTGATTGTAAATATGTTAAGGAACTTACATATTTAAAAAGTAAAATGCTATAAATAATTAATAATTTTAAGGAGGAGAATTCCATAATGAAGAAATAATAAAATTGTTTTGAAAAGTACATTGGATTTGACGAATTTACTAGTACATGAAGAAAAACATTATTGTTAAAAAGAAATTATTCCTTGAAATATAGGTGAACTTATTTACATATTGGTATTATCATAGACGATAGAAAGGATTGATGTGAAAAAGACAGAAGAATATCAGATATGAAGCCAATTTATATAATATTCTTAGGCAGATACAAAATTTATGAAACGAAGGGGATATATTTTTGATAGGCAGAACAAATGATTAAAAGTAATGTCTCTAGGAATGTAATGTCATCTTTGTTGTATTTACCATAGTACATTAAGTGTGTTTCATAAGAATGTAATAAAGAAATTTTTAGAAAATTGTTGAAAACAAATAGAATTTTATTTATTGAACCTAATGAAATAAGTTTTCAAAGAAGTATAGAATACATAGAAACGCTAGGAAGCTTGTTATGAATAATATATATGATTTATAAAATATATGATTTATTACTATTACAACAAAAGAAAAACAGTGTTCAATGTTTTTACAAAAATTACTATCAGTCTACCATAATTTTAATGTGCCTTTCTGTTGTGGATTATCTGAATTCTATATGTATACACTATATACAGAAAATATATCGCAAATTATATTTCCATAAAATGATGATAATTACAACCCAACAAATATATCTAATTATTAAAATAAAAATTCTCATTAACTAACTCTGTCTTTTGTATATCAATATGTATTAAATTTTTCATTATATTAATTTTACATTTAACTACTGCCTATAACTTAAATTAATAAATAAAACTACAACTTAAAAAATAAACTATTATTTAGACCTTTATTAAAAATTCTTTATTAATAATTCGTTGATAAAAAAATAAAAATTCTTTTAGTGTATATCAGATATTTTTTAGCTCTGTTAAAGGAATTTTCTTTCAAATATTATTATTTTTTTATAACAAATACATTATTTTACAATATTTAATTTTCTGTATAAGAAACCTTTTCTTATATGTATAATAATATTAATTTCTTTCATTTTATCATATTATTGTGACTATAGTTTAAAAAAGGAACATGTCAGAAAGTTAAAAAAAGTATACATATATACATATATATTATACAAACTCTTATTATTGGATATGTAGATCTGTATTTAAGTGTACACAAAATGCAGGTCTGCTTCTAGTCATATATAAGTCTTATAAGCTGTTATCTGCATTGAAATGATATTTGCTAAGAATAATTCTATGTTATGATAATTGACGACAGGTGCCTTTGCAGATCTTAATGAGAAGTAAGACATCATTATTAGTCATGGTAGTGAAAAGGTGTTTGACAGAAGGTGGTATATAAATTTTAAGTAAAAACATATTTTTTGAGGCTTTCACGGACTAAATTATCACAATTAATACTTAACAACATATTATTTGTAATATATATTCATCATTAAAATATGTAAAATATATATTTTTAGATATTACAGCATAAAATTTTGTTGTATCTTCATAAAGTACATGTATATGTATACAAATGGTTTCACTTACCAATATAAATCTGCAATCCATGTTAATGTTAAATGTATTGCTACAATCAATAGAGTCTACTGAAATTTCAGTAAAAGATGAAGTCAGGTGAGAATTTTATAAAAATTGTGAAATGTAATTAATTAAAAATATAATTAATAAATAAAGATTATTGTATGTTTCCATCTACATGTTTATATTTGTTATATAGTTCTTACATTAAAGGAAATTTAACATGCCCATTACCGATAACAACTTTGGATTTTCTCTACAATTTTTCACAATCCGATTTAGAAATTGTATGGCCTTGTGAAATCCGTTTTTACTGGTTATCATTACAACCATTTGTTAAATTTGTACGCTTTTTACTTGGCTACGTAACACCATTTATTATAATGCTCGGTGAGTAAAAAAAAAGAGAATAGTTTTCCATCTTACTATTATATGATAATTTGCAACTTTATATATATATATATATATATATATATATATATAAAGTTAATATGATTTATTGTACTGTAATAAATAATTTATTTTTCATATAGGTGTAATGTTAAATACTATTTCTTTTGTAATATTAAGTACACCTATACTTTGTGAATCAAATTTGTCACTTTATTTAAAGGCACTTGCCTTATCTGATAATGGAGCATTAGTATTTAATTATGCTGTAGGTATTGCAAAGTCACATTTTATATTTGTTAATAATCTTTTCATGGTAAGCAATTATATTAGATAATTACATATATCTTACGCATATAATTAGAAACTCAAGTTTATCATTTTTTTAGGCTAGTAGATTTCTATGCAGTTTGAATTCTATTACTATGGAATTCTTTCAATTTACATCTACTTGGCTAGTTGTAGTTCTCACATGGACACGAGTATTTGCTATAATGTTTCCTTTTGGAATATATGGTCATTATAACAATTCTTCGGGAACAATAACTATTACTATTTTGATATGTGTCAGCTTTATAATATCATTAACAAAATTGTATTCAGGAGGTAAAAATTCAAATTTCAGTACAATGTGTTATGTCAGAAATGTATTTCACTTAATTTACAGGCTATGAAACAGACAGTGTTTTTGAATTTATACCATGCCAAAAGAAAATAAAACCATGGGGTAGTGCTATGTATTTTTATATTGCATTATCAACTTGGTTACCTTTACTTTTTATATTTATTGGAAATATTTTACTGATCATACTCATGAAAAAAACTGAAAAAATTCACTGTCAGTTAACTCGTAAGTAAATTATTTAAGTAGATTTGTGTAATTAAAGAAAAACGAATACATTTCATGACGTTATTTCTTAGAAAATTTCAGACATAAAACAAACAAAGTACATCATACTTTTAGAATATTATTTGTAGTATCAACTGTTTATTTAGTATTACTATTACCCCTTGGTATAGTTGAAACTTTGGAACTTTATTGGGATGTCATTTTGATTAAATTTCCCGGTACTGAGATGAAAAGAAAAGCGGAATATATACACTGGTATAGATTTTAGAATATGCGTATAATATATGCTTGCTCATTATTGCGTATGCGTTTAATATAATTGATAACTTTGTATCTTACAATTATTAATTATTTTTCAGGTTAAAAGAAAAAATGTTATTAAAGTGGTGCCGCGGTTTATGCTTTCATATATATCATTGGAATTTTGCAATTAATTTCTTTTTATATTGTCTGACAGGCGAAAAATTTAGAAACATAGTCATACAGACATTAAAACGATATAAAATTGTAATCTTTTCAATCTTTTCTAAACATATCAACAAATGTATATTGTGTTCAAAATATCCTACACATTTAAAACCCGCACAGTCTCCGAACGTATTACTAATAAGAGCTATCACGCTTGGTGAACATCCTACCTCTGGAAGTGTTTCTGCGCAAAATAATAGTACCACTATTGCAAACACTTAATGTAAAGAATATATAAATCAAATTTATAAAGACTGTTAGCATTAAACATTGCAAAAATGTTTGTATATCCACATATTTTTATTGAATATGTACACTGTTATATATTTCATGTCAAATTTTATCACTTTACTTATATCACTTTTGGTAGGAGTATTTTTCCTTGTTTATATTTTCACTAATTTTATTACATATTTTCATAATTTACAAAACTTGAATTTTCTATTACATATTTCTAGAAAGTATATCATATTATTAATATTATGTATCACATTAAATAATTTATTTTACACACATGATAAAAATGATGTATGTTCTTCTAAAAGAGATCACAATGACCAATCGATACGAAATTTGAGAGAGAGAGAGAGAGAGAGAGAGAGCACGAGCGAGAGAGAAGGGGAGGGATGGATCTCAAATTTAAAATTTTAGCTGTGGCTATTTATTAGTTTTTGAGTTATTAATAAAAGCTTCCGATACTATATATTGAATGGTGTTTATATAGATGTTACTAATTATTAATCAACCGTCTTCGCTGATAGTTGTTCTCTGGTACCTATCCTCAATTGTCGAATAGCCGATGATGCAATAGCGATATCACTTCAGTATCTATACGGTGTCCCCCGTAAAATAGGTTATTGTAGCTTCAGTTGTCCAAAGGATGTTTTATTTTCTATTTAATTATTTTTTGAACCGATTAAGCAATTAAACACTAGCCGGCCGCTGTAAGGCGACAGGATATCTTTATATATAGTTTGACAACTAAGGTTGATCGCTGGTTATGTAGTACACACACGACACGTAAACACGCACACACACGGTATATTAACCCGACATTTTACGACCACGGAGATTAAAACGTAACTTAGTCTAAAAACAGCGAACGGATTTTAGGTAGGACACCGTATACATACTGAGGTCGATATCGCTGTTGCGTTATCAGCTACTTGACAATCAGCACTCGACATTCGACGACGACTATTACAGCGAAAACAGTTGCTATATATATGTATAGCATCGAAAGTCTTTTTATCAATATTTCGGAAACGAATAAATATAAATAAATAAATAAAAATTTTTAAATAAGATCTACATCCCCTTCCCTCCCTCAATCCCTTCCAAATTTCATGTCGATCAACCACTGATTTCTTTCAGAACTAGAGCCAAAATAATTACTAATGCAACCGAATATCACATTGTATATGCTAAAATAAGTTTAGAAACTAGAATTTTCTACATTATGTTCATAAGAATGAAGATATAACAAACTATAATTATTATAATTCTGTTTGTTTAAATTCATTTTATAATTCGGATATCTGGCTCCAATATAAATTATAAAATTGATAAAATTATTGCTTGCTAATACTGCAATTGAAATCTTCTACGAAATTTCCAAAAATTTTAAAATAATTTACTACATATTACAACTGAAGAACATCTATTTATATGCACACACGTTTTAGAATATATATCTTCTTTTTTTAATTACTAAAATATGCACAAATTTGGTTTGCAAATATGTTTCATTGTAATAAATGTGTAATTAAGTATTTACATTACTATATGCGATATTTAACTATAATGAATAATTTAAATTTGACATACTCAGATTCTATATATATGCTCAGTATATGTGTAGTATATGGATATTGCATATTCATATACTAAACATAAATCGAAATATAATTTAAATACATATTATAAAATACAATTTGATATATATAACATATTTAAGTATGAAGTTAACATACACATGTATATCAATAGAAAAATTGTTGTTACCTTTTTATTACATTTACTAATTAATATGTAATTTTGATCATTCTAACATAGTATAGGATACGTTAAACAGAATAATCGTTGAAACAATAATAGTGAAACATTACAGGTTTAATTATAATCCTGCATTAAATCTAGTAAGTTTTAAATATTTTATGTACATATGAAAAAATATAATTATTCGTTTTACATGTTAATTATATTATGTTGCATATTGTATAAATATTTATTTGTAATTATTATTTATTAAACAAATATATTAACTTATTAAATTTATTAATAAATCTAGGATTTATCTACACTTAATAATCAGTTAGAGAAATTTACAAATAAATGTTATTCAAAAATATTGATAATAGAGATATTACTTTCTCTATTACATAAGTAATAACAACTTAAATAAAGTTTAAATTATAAAGGCAAATAGGATTTGCTGAAATTTGATATTGAAATATCTCAATTTCAACTTTGTGCGTAATTATATTGAAATTTCTGTTAAGAAATAGGAAATTATTACAAAGTTTCATATATACATTTTTTCATATTTTTGCACTAAGTGCATTTTAATTTACGAGATGATCTCTCTAGTTAAGCCAAAGACAATATTGCTGACCATTTCATAGATATACATATTATCTTATCATTTGTCATTACAGATTACGTATATGTATTGACGCTACACGTATATAACACCAGAAGAGCGTTAACGTTAACATCATTACCAGGAATCGGTACCGCCTCTGTTTAGGAAAGAGGCTATCATGTGTACTTATACATATACATATATGAGATGATAACGATTGTACACGCTTGGATGTACAATTGGCAGCATTGTCTTTAACTTAATTAGCAGAAGAGTCATCCTGTATAAAAATATATATTACACAATTAAGGAATAATATTAATGCTTGATATTTGAATACTTTGACGATGGTAAAATACGTTTTATTTGTATTACTAATTTTCTTCGGGAAAATAATATTTAAGACATATCTATAAATATTAGTGACGTAAAAATTAGTTACTTTTGAAAAAATTGAAAAGTAATATTACTCTATCCTTTTGTTCGTAAAAAGCTTCAAAATGTAAATCTTTCATTTTCAAAAATCCAATTTAAAAATCTAGTAAAAATATGTTCTTGAAATTCTTTCTTTCTCTTTCACAAGGCAATGCATACTTGCATATAACTCAGTCTTGTTGTAAATAGAAATTCTACAAATTTAGTCTCCATTTAGTATCTATGACTGAATAAATTCTAAATTTTTCATTCCCTGCTTCATGAAAATACCATTACAAAAATATTCGTAAGAATAAAATTAGTAATATAGAAATCACTGACATGTAATCATTTATAATATGAGAAAACATGCGAAACATTAATTTTCCAAGTGTAAAGGAAGAGTGCATGGGATTCTATTTACGTAATTTACCGGAAATTGTCCTTTTCGATCTTTACACTCACCATATAACCAATCTTGTGATATCCTCGATAAAACTGTAATTTTTTCTCCTTCCTACAACATATATATGGATATATAAATAAAATGAAATTAAGATAACTATTATACAGTAAGATTGACATATGTAAGTGTAGTCAATGTGTAATCAGTAAACGTAATGGGATTTTTCATACTTCAGCAGTACAATAACCTTGATAAAAAAAAAGTGCAGATGAGCAAAATAATTAATTTTTAATGATAATAAATAGCAGGAGAAAATAGATCGTCGTTATTCTTTTCTGCATATTGAGAGAATATTTATATTGATTTATATTAATCATATCAATTATAATAATGTATATTAATATAAGAATGTAATGTAATATAAGAATGATGTCTAAACGAGCAAATGATAATCGTCAATTTTGCATCAAATTAACTTACATCAAATACTAAATCTTCTGGTGTTTCACCTTTAAAAGGGTAGATAGCGGTAACTATATTGTCTGGGACACCAGGCAATGGTACTTTTATATCGATAAAATTAATAGGAAATATTCCTTGTTGATTTCCTACTCTACCCTCCATCCAATCTTCATTAATTTTCTTAATTAAATATATTATATCACCTTGCTTGAAAGGCAAATCGTCCGCATGTATTAATGGAAAATCATATAGAGCAATGCCGTAAGGTTCTTCATTGCTGACCTAAAAATAGGACAATACTAATTATTTTGATAAAGCAATAAGTATGGAGCGAATTATAATTACTTACTGAAAGATCGTTATTTATTTCTGCTAAATATTCCAGAGGTGGTGCAGGTGGTGGTATTGTGGGCATCGGAGGTGAAGGGTTATCTTTAGAATCATTTTGCCATGAATTAGATAAATCTAACGTCATTGGTTTAGCAGAAGGCACTATTTTGTTTGAACATCTTGATTCAATTTCGATGTTGTTAATCTTTTGCTGTATTTTCGTTTGTAAAACTTTTGGAGCTGGGGGTTTGGGTGGTTTCGCGCGAATTATAGTTGGCATTGATCGAGTACTTTTCAAAGATGTTTGATCGAAAGATGCTTGGTTATTTGTATTAAAAGCAAAAAAGCTTGCATCCCCCGCATGTTTTACAGATTGTAACGTATTATGATTAGTTATTTCCAATGGTCCAAATGGATCTGTTATTGAATTAATTTTCCATGGATCATTTTGTGATGCTTTTTTATTAGATATTCCAAAAAAATCAAAATCATCTTCAAAGGCACTTTCTGTTTGAGATGTGTTCCCACTACTTGTAAATGCAGATGGATTTGAGTTTCCATCACTGCCAAAGCTATCAATGCTAACACCGTCGCTACTTGATCGAGTCGTAAATGTTGGAGATCCAGGTGGACTAAAATCTATTAGACAAATTGGTCCATTTGTGTTTTCTGATTGTAATATTGTATTGTGTATTTGACTATTTAACTGTGTTATGCTTGAATGTTCGCTTTTCTTTCTTCCGAAAAGATTAGTCAAAAGTTCTGTAGGCCTTACCTATTCGAATACAATATAAACAGCATTAGATAATGTTTATTAACTGTAAAATGTTAATTTAATAGACGTCTACATACTGGCTTTTTTGACTTTTCCTTTTGCGTATGCGAATAATTTTGATTAAATTTTGGCGGTGGTGGCCGAGGTGGTGGCTTTTTCTTCTGAATAGGTTGTTGCATTAACGAAGATCCAAAAACATTGTTTCTATGAATATCAAAAGATAATTAAATTTTGTAATGAATTCGATAATGTTTGAAATCCTACATAAACTTATAACGTGCGCCTTGCATGAAATCCAGTCATTACATCATATATAATATACTTACATTTGTGTAACGAAAATATTTACTACGGAAATGGCAAAAAGTATAAAGAATCTGTATTAAACCACATAATATCGAACTTACGTGCTATTCCAAATAATGTTTCTTTGTGCCGTCGAATTTGGATTAATCGGTGGACGAGGGGCAGAACGTGTAGGAATTCGCATTTCTGAAAGCAAACCATGAAATGAAGCAATACCTCGAAAAAAAGTTCGTTGAGATCTAGTATTGCAGCATACAATGCACGAACAGACACTTATTCTATAGATTCTTTTCTATACATTCATGCACACAAATGCAAATACGTAGACACGAACATACAGGGGAATTTACGAAAAACAATACCCGTATTGACAACAATGAAGCTTCTGCGTTCCGATTATACGCCCACTACCAAGTGTCAGATATCTTTTGACGCGATATGAATTCAGAGGCGCCACGATAATAATTAAAAATTTCACGAATGGTAGTGTACATTGGATTTGACGTACGAATGAAAAACATGACGTAGTAATGAAATTTAATTATTATTTCAAACATATGGATAAAAAGTTATATTTGTATTTTACTGTATACATATGCTTTCTTCAATTAAACAGATCAGTTAATTTTCTTCGAGTGATGGTTATTACTATCGGCAGGTTCGTACACAGTACTCACCTGTTTTTACGTTTGCAGCCATTTTTCATTCAACACGATTGCAACTATATCTTATATTACGACGTGATAATACGTTTAAAAGAAATTGATTAAACAACTAACTTCTACAGTCCTATAGGCGAATAATTTATATATCGTTGGAAATATTTTGTTTAAAGATTTAATGTTAATAAAATAAATAAACAACTGTTTCTTGCTGTTTCATTTTGTTATTTTTTAATGATTTCACTTGTCAAAGAAAATGAATCATTGTACCAGTAATGTTTCATTTTTGTAATTAAAAAGGACCCGTTTCTCCTTATAAATGTTATAACTACCAACGAAACTGTTCCTTAATTATACGCTTATCGTTTCTCATGTGTATAGGCATGTGACTGCTTTAGAATTAGAACAATTACCAAATAATTTATGACGTATCAAGCATTTATTTGAAATTTGCAAAATTACGATTATAGATTACCATTAATGTCCCTAGATTTTAAAGTTTCTAGGTACGTTAATTTTATTACAGTGGTTATACTACTGTAATTTGCTCCATTAACCTCTATGATAGTTTAAATTGTTATTTATTTTTCGTAAATTTGATCGTATAATATAAAATATATCTTTTTATTTGTATCTCCTAGTATTTACAATATTTCAGTAAGTTTTATATTTTACTTTATATTTTACTTTAAGTATATACATACATGTTTTAATTTACATAATATATTCGTACAGAATAACTCGTGTTACTAGCGACATCTGAGTCATATGCAAATTACAGATTTTGCAATACCGAATTGTACAAAATGATAAATAAATCTTTATACATACTCGTTTTATCGTATGTACGTATATGTAATTATTTTCATTATTTAAAAAATGTAATAAAATATTTTGTCATTAAATGTCTCGTTGAAAATAATGCATCTGTAAAAATAATTGAATCTACTACTTTATTTATTACTGAATGAAATATTTAGCAAAAAAGATTAGAACTAGATGGAAATATGATTTTCTATCTATATTTTCTAGAACTTTGAGAAATTTAGTAGTTTCGCAACGTTTTGATTTGACCATTTTTTAATACTTCAGTTGCTTTAAAGGAAAGTATACACGTATATACATACATGCATACAATTATATTACATTTATATATATGATCTATATATGTATATATATATCTATATATATATGATATATATATATATAATCTGTTTTAAGGAAAGATCTTTTTTAAGAAACATACACCGTTGAGCAAGGATTTATCATAAACGCTATATTTATTTGCCTATGTACATAACTTTTATTATTGTTCCTAATGAATATTTATTAGGATTTAGTAGGACTTAATGGACTGGATTGAACTTATATACATGTTTTAGCGTCAACGAAACGCTCTTACCATTGTACCCTGACTCAAATGATAGAAGAAATCATGCACTGAAAGCGAACACAGGGCGTATCCAATGCACGAAAAGAACTGCATTATAAAATATAAAGGAAAAAAGTCTCTTATACAAACGTTCGACACATACACTTGGTTTGCACTTAACTTCTCTTTCGCAGGATAATTGTAGAATAATTGTATAGATATGAAATAATTCTTCATACTTTCTGTGAATCGAACCATCTGCGAGGATTAGGGGCGTTTAATCGTTCGAGTTCTTATAATGGTATATAGCTTTACAAGAATATTGTTTTTTGAAGGAGGAAAAAACATGATAATACGAAATAGAAAACAAACGATGTTAGCGTTTATGCACCGATAAATTCTAAGTCTATTTAAAATTTACGTACAGCATATACACAAAAGCTGTCATGTTTCGAATCGTCTCAATATAATTTTGTTTATATATAAGATAAAAGAAATGGACATGGATCCCTTTTACACGAGATCCGAACCAGGCTGAATGAAATAACAAAACAAAATGAATTTCTAAAAAAATAATTGAATAAACGATACTTAGAACTTATCATTAGGCAGGTAGATTTTGCATCGTTAATATTTGCTCTTTGTTTTCTTAATGTTGCCGGCAAATATATGTACTTACGTATATTTCTGTTTCAACAGGGAGCACGCATATCTCAATTTTTTCCACGAACAGAACGTAATACACTGATTTTTGATATTTCAATTGGTTGCATATACGCATAAAAGTGCATGAACAAAGACTTACGGATTTAATATAAAGAAAAAATAAATAAATAGCTAAAAAAAAGAAAATTATACAAGAATGATACTTCTTGTTAATAATGTATAAAATGTTTTTAATGGTATATATTGAATTTCGGAAGAACGGACAAATTAAATTGAGATAATAAATAACTACTCGTAAGTCTTTGCTAACAATCAAATTTACTCGACGATCATTCCGTTAGACCTCTTTTTTAATATTTCCCAACCAAAATGGTTGTATGCATGTATCAGCTCGTATATTCTAGGCCGTCCTCCTTCGTTATATCGACGACACAAAATGTCAAAGAAGAAAAGAAAAAGAAAAAAAGAAAAAAAAAAAGAAAGAAACGTGAAAGGAAGGAAAGAACGAACGATTTGGAATCGGAACTATCCCTTGATGCGACAGCTAATGGTTAACCCTTTATTTGGTATTCATTTGTAACATGGCTTTTATGTGTAACTTACGCACGCAAGTACTATAATATACGTAAATATGTACGTGTATGGAAGAAATATGGTGTGGTCATAAGTCGGTGAAAGATCAACTTTTTGTTATCAAGTTTATATACTCGTATAAATATATTTTCCTAGAACGAGCAATTCCGCTTTAACTTTCTTTCCATCTAAACCGTAACGTTTAAAACACAATGTTACAAGTCTGTAAAGAGAACTCTTAAGAATTATTTAAAAATTCGGTCTTCATATAGGAATGCCCGTTGTAATTCGCAAGCGATGGTATATTACGTATTTCAGTGAGAATTTTGTGATAAAGTTGAAACAACGCATATTTTATCTCTAGTTTTCGAACTTTCTGATGATTCTTAAAATGTCGATGGCGTGTCGAACTACTACGAACAAAAGAAATTTTGTACTATATCGTTAATAATCAATTGTTAATTGTATTACAACTAATAGAAGACATACATAGGTAAGACGCGTTTTGTTCTTTCTTTCGTAACGTGTAGACAATTTTAAGATCGCACTATATTTCTTCCAAGGAGAATTACGTATTCATCACATATGAGAAGGGGGAAAACGCATGGCAATTTTGTCAACATTTGCGTTAACACTGCATACTAAAGCAACAAGTGAGTTACAAATGCTCGGTTGTATCAACGGGCATGGGTTTTTTAAACTGCATAACCCGAGAAAATATAATAAAACGCAGACTTCGTACTTTCGCTTAATCCTTATGTGGAAGACATTTCTTAAATATCGTTTTTCTAGTCGACCGTTATCTTGCCTGTCTCTATACGAGATATTCCGTATCGCATAAATAGTGTACAATGTTGTAGGAATTATCGAATTACTAACTTTTGATTTCTTATTACTCGCTCCTCGCTATTTGTCTTCTTTTTCGGTATATTTGCTACATATATAATAGGAACGGTAGGTCTCGTTTTGCTCGTTTTTCTCTTCGATGCTGCGTGCAAAGTAACCGAGCGTTTATATCTAACTTCAACATATTTAATAGAAAATAAAAAATTAAGATATAAAAACTAAGAAAACAGAAAGTAGGAAACAAAAGCCATGTTAAATTGGGATGAAATGCCCTCTGCGTACAGAATTTCCGTCCAAATAGAGGATTAACGAAGAAAGCTGGGTCCAGTGCACGCGGAATATATCTTTTTCTCTCGGAAGAGTCAGTCTTGAGGATTGTTAGGTAGCTCTGGTACGATCTGATCCTGACAAGAAGATCTGCTGGACGCGAGGCAGACTCGTAACGGTTTCGCGAGCCATGGGTGTCTCGGCACGTCCTCCGCGTACGGCCTCTCGGACGGTTCCTTTCTCAGCAACGAGCGGATTAGACACCGAGCACGTGGGCTTAGACCTTCTGGTACCGCGAACTGGCCACGTGAGATTTTCGCAAACAAAGACGCATGCTCGGCGTCGTTAAACGGATAACGACCGACCAGCATCGTGTACAGGAGTACGCCAAGCGACCAGATGTCGGCTGCCTTCCCGGAATAAGCTCGTCCCGAGCGTAGTACTTCCGGCGCTACGTATGCCGGACAACCCCGTCGATCGGTCAGCTTGTCGTCATCACCTTCGACGATCACCGCATCTTCTAGACTTTCCAGACGAAGTCGTGTTCTAAAATGCAGAGAATCGAGATGTTAGTACGTATACGACCCGAGTTTATATAGATTTGAAACGATATCTTCGATATCCGATCAGCTAAAACCACTTTATATATAGACCAGATAGATGTAGCGAAAGTAAGAGAGGATGAATTTTTTCTTGGACCGGATCAACAACATTCCCCGAATAAAATCGCTATCCGTTTTCCGACAATTACATCGAATTTAATCCAATTACGTCCAATTTAATGGAATTTAAGCCTAAACTATCGTATATAAGCTGATCGTTTATACATACATCCTCTTCGATATCTGCCATCGACTTTAACGTTTAGCGTGTATGTTTATTTACTTATCGCTAGTGATTCTGATACGTCAACGAATACGTACGAGATGAAAGTAACTCGCGCTACATTGCCGTCGACTGTCAGATAATACGCAGCGACCGGCTGTCGCGCCGCAAATGTTAGATAATACGTAGCATGAAAATTTGAAGAACGAATAATTAGTTATTCTGTGTAGATAGATTTAAATAATCAAGATTAAAATAATTAACGTATTTTGCTCGACGACGTTCTATACGTAACGAAGCAATATCAAATTACAAAGAGATAATTTATCGCAATCGCAAAGGGAATTTATCTTAACGAAACGCGCGGACGAAATGTTGTTTCTTCTTTTTTTATTATGTATCGATTAAAGTTTTATCGCATAAATTAG